TTCCAAATTGGAACTTCCAATTATTACTATCAATCGATTGGTGTGGCGCGCGCTTTTCATTACAATTAGCTATTTACATAGGTTTACGCGGCTCCCTTCCTCCCCGGCGTTGGGTCGTGGGCCGGAGGATGACACTAAACACGTGTGATCCTCGGCCAATGTGATGGGGCCAACCTTACACGGAACGTGAGGTGCCACACCACATCGCCAGGGTGGGAGGGAGGTTGGAAAAAGGACGACAAATAACTGAGGCGGAGGTGGGATGTAACCCAACATCCTAGAAGAACTTTGAATCACTGCTAAATAACGCTAGGTGTTGTGTCGACACAACGTGTCTGTCCCTTCACACACGCCGGTGACCGTCGCCGAGTAAACTGGCCCAACGAGTTGACCTCGATTATTCAAATAATCAGTGGATAATCTATACGTATGATGAGATCCTTATCCTAAGTTAGGATTCCTAACTAATCTCGAAGTTTTTGAGTGAAGATTCAGGGCATTGATGATCTGCGTTAGGGACTTCGTTCTTAGCTTTTTGAAACGCTACGTCTATCGCTGATGATGGACGTTCCATCGAAGGGAGAGTTTAAGCCCGATGGTTTCTACCAGCTGTGTTATACCCCTGATGGATGGAGGTACACATGCCACTTTTGCCAACGTCCACTCGAAACGTTTGGCATTTGGAACAGCTGGAAGGCACGACAACATCTCAGCAGGCATCATTTTCACTTGGTCGTGGCCAACTGGCCCTCAACAATGTCCCAACTCAACACTGAAATCGTATATATCGAAGTTTTGGACTCCCAAACCGTTGGATAACTAAAACTGAGTCAAATTTCGTGAGAGTAATGTTCGATGATAAGCGCGCTATAGAGAGACTTGTGGAGAAGCGCGCGCCCAGGGTGGGAAAAATCACTCACACGGTTAGAACACTGCTTTTGCACTATACTATGGACAATTAAGAACACTTGGATAAACATGATCGCTTTATGAGTATGACCCGTAGTTCACACTGCTCAGGGAGAGAAAAACGAGGTGTTTTCGCATTTTTCCCAAGGGAAAAACTGGCAGTTTTTCCGGGAACGGGAAAGTGGGAAATTTCCCAAGGGAAACTTTTCCCATTTTCCCAATGGACAAACCCTGCCTGGAAGATTCGCCCTGAATACATGAACATTTCCCGTTAGTAACGGGCCGTTACACTACAGTAATAACAAAACCTATTCCATTCCCGGGCACGGTCGTCATAAGACTCTTATGACGTATTGGCAAGAAGAAGACCTATGAACCTATGGCGGTTCATATAGGCTCTTATGATAAGAGCCTATATGAACCACGTACGCAATACCTCCTTGCACCGTCTTATGTGAATGTTTCGTTAGAAAGCAAGTTCAAGCAAGTGCACGAAATGAAAAATATGTTGATGTAATACACCAACTCATTTCTTATAATACACCAGATATATTCTTATGTTATCGATCGAACCGTAGCCTACGGTCCGTAGGTCGTGCGACCGAGATGGTTTCTTCCATGAACCAGAGTCGTTCCTTCCTTTTTTGAGTCATTTCCCCAGTTGGTTGGGGGACACAAAGATATGTCAGGAAACGGGCCATATTCCGCGACAATGTCGCGGCGACATAGCTAGTGACGCTAACTTAGTGTGATCAAACATTATCTGTGAACCTATGGCCCAAGGTAAGACCCAGAGAGAGTTCGGGCTTCCGGTTCACAGTGTTTGGTCCTCTCCCACACTCCCAACCAAGTGTCCGGCTGACGGACAGATATCGCTCGAATTGAGAAAATGAGTCTTGAAAAATATGATCTCACACTTTAACTGGTTAGAAATGCGCTTTCACTCTACCGAAGCCAAGGTCTATCCCCGGGGACGGTCATTCTGAGAGCTGGCTCGCAAGGAGCTGAGGAGGTCTACCGTGGCACGCGCTGAAGTCGTGAATCAAGGTCGAGAATCAGAATCAGGGTTTAGTACCGGGGGTCTGGACCTCCGGTACGGAATCAAGAAAAATCCCCGTGTTGAAGTGTGAACTTGCGCATCATGAATATGATCCAGGATCATGCTCAAGGTGAGATGGCGATGTTGAATCTGAGCAGCTTTGAGGGTGAGTGAAATAATCTCGACTCCTGAGAATTAGTCTCGAACCACGAGTGAAGATCCCAACTCTGAGTATTTAATCTCGAAATACTCTGACTCAGTGCCAAAAGCTCTGAATCTGCCATTGAGTATAGATTTGGATCTTGAATCATGATTAGGGATCATGAACCGGATTCAGCGGCTGATTGAGATCAATGATCAAGCATCTTGCTCATGACTACGTAATCTGACTCTGTCAAGTACTCATACTCAGAAATCTCGACTCTTAAGTTAGCTAAGGGCCTGGCAGCGCCAGCGCTTGACACGCTAAAAGGCAAAGATACATGAGCGAGGATTCGAACCTGCGCACAGGATTTTGCGCAGATCGTCATGGATCCTGTGATCGATTCAGCATTAAAAATTCTTGAACAACGGCAAGGTGAGTTGCCAGAGCTCAATTCATTTTTTTCCTTCCAACGTATACCCCTCCCCTTGCAAGTTTTCTTGGTGTACTGGCCTTAGTGCCCGCTGTTGCCTCCGCGAATTAAACGAGGCTTGTCGCTTTCGAGTGCATTCGCGACAAATAGGGGACTTAGTGCCTCCTTGAATAATAAGAGACCTAGCGTCCTTAAGTGTCTTCTCGAGCAATAAGAGGCTTCGCGCCCTCAAATGCCTTAGCGGCTAGCAAGGGGCTCCGTGCCTCATAATGACTTTGAAGCAGCTTCAAAGTTTTCGCCTCCGACTTTATGATCGAATCTAATTGTCTGGTATGTTGTCAACATGCAAGCGAGTTAACGTGAGTCTAGACATATGGTCAAGGTCCAGTAGGAGCTCGTGTCTCTGTAAGTATACTCGGAGACAGTCGTATGAATAGCAAAAGGCAGGTGCCATCATGGTTACACACAGCATTGATCGGTAACTTTCTCCTCGACATCGCTAGAATTGAAGGGAAGCACACTGATGCGAATATAACAGCAACCCTCGAAGGTATACTCTCGAAGTGCCATATAGGCAACCACGGCGGCATCGCACTCGGTACTATTATAAGCAACGCCGCAGCGAGCAACAAGAGAATGGTGAAAGATTTACGTGAGAAAAATGGGTAAAAAACATGGGATATCCCACACATTTTATGCTGTGGACACAAGCTCCATCTTGTAGTGAGCAACTCTCTCGAGATCTGGTCACGCACCACAGATGACCACCCAGATAGAACGCGTTGCGACCCAGATTCAGAGGTTGCAGAGGACGACTCGTCGGATCTAGATGATCTCATCTGCGACGACTCCGATTCTGAGGTAGAACTCGGAGATATTGACAAATCAATAAACTACGCTTGGGCGGAGGGGGTCGTGACAGAGGCGGCTTCATGTTAAAGCAGGCAGTGGAAGTTCCACTGTGGAACAGCGCTATCAGAAAAGCAAGAAACAGTTTAAGGTTCCTTCGCCAGTCGACCAACGCTGTAGATTTGTTACAGGGGTTGTGCTACCAATCAGAACCGTAAGATAACCTTGCCGGCAACTTGCCGGCGGCAAGGGATATAATAACGCATTCAGCTTACTCATTGTTTAACTGATATAGGATGAACCGTGTGCTATTCGAAGCATACCACTGATATGATACCAGCAACAATGTCTGAAGAGAGGAAAGCGTGACACGTTATATGCGCACTCAAAAAAGGTTCAATTCCTGGCAGGGCATTACGAAACTATTGAAGACCTGTGCGAGGCATTGGGATATCTCCTGGATGCGACTAAGCTTTTGTCTGCTAGACAATGCCTGGGACCCGATTTCCGACTCTCGGGATTATTCGACCCGTAGTAAAGGGATTGCTGGCCGGCTTGGGTGATACATCAGATGGTCGTGGAAGAAGGTCCAAAATCAGGCAGTGCCTTTCATCAAGCCTTGAGAAGTACTTCCGAGAGCATCTTGATGACGACAATATTATCGGCATCCTCTCTACCTGCGCGACTCATCCGAACACTAACTTTGCGGACACAGAGACAGAAAGTGTAGGACAAGCAGCTGTGAGGTCATGCGCGGAGGCTCTCGGAATATAGGATAGAGTTGCGATGCTCCGAGGAGCAGTTACTCAAACTTATATTGCCGGATCATCCGAGTGCACGTTGCTCAGCAGACTCAGAAGGAGAAAGCCTTGTATTCGACCAGAAGACGCGTCAAGCTTGACGAGGAAGCTCCAAATACCTGAGAGAACGCTGGCTACCCGACATAAAGGCGGTTCCCGGTTATAAATATCTCTCTGTGCGCTGATGGGTCTGACTCATCATCGTCTGATCCGATTATCTATGAGTTGCCCAGTGTGACTGATATGATATTTAGAGTCCTGAATGATGTAGTTTATCATCAACGGCGACGACCTGTGCGCCGATGGTTCAAGGTTACAGTGCGTGAGATGCGTGCCTCGGCTCGGGTTGACGTTGAATGCGATGATGAACCCGGTACGATCGAGACTTGATTTCTGGGCCTGTGAACATAGATCGACGTTATGAGTTTTGCTCTCTTCCACCTAGTATTATCGTTTTAAGTTTATAACCTTCAAGTTTATAGTATGGTAGATTTTGCACAGCCTGTGCGACACAGGTATTACCAATGGCTTGTGCATGCGTACGGATGTTTTAGCTAGAAGTTCTAGCTAGAACCCACATGTTCGGTTCTAGCCTAACATGTGGGTTCAGTGCAATACGTTCTCGCTAAGTGTCGAGAATCCGTAGCCATCCTGGCTTGAGTTCGAGGTTGTGTTCTAACAACCCTCGATAAGCGTATCATCTCAAGCCGTCACGCACACAATTTGTGTGGGCCGCACAATTCGAGCAACGTGCTGATGTCAGGCTGGCATTGTCAGTATTTCTCAAGCGTTCAAGCCGTCCGTGCTTATCATCTCTCTCCCATCCATATGAAGATATTTTTTATTCTGGCTCTCCTGCTCGTCCTGGGTGTTGTTAACGGTGATTCTCACGTGGATGATACCGAGAAGATCTTTCCCGGCATGATGATGAATAGGCGGGCCGATAATGGCGGTGACCAGAAATCCGACTTCGACCAGAAACAAGACTCGCCTAACAACCTTGGAGACCCATTCTCTTGTGCTGCGTGTAAAACCTGCAAGAAAATCAAGTATGTTCCAGCTTTCTGCTGGGCAGTATATGTGGGGTGTGGCTCTAACTGCAAACAACATTGTTGCTGACTGCGGCAATTGTTGGGATGGTTACATTTGATGTTTTTGCCCGACCAATAATCTAGTTGTACATCTTCCATACATGTTCGGACATAACTTTGTAACTTGACCTACTTTTATTTCCTCAGCTAGAATTTCAGTCGCGTCGGTCGAAGGATGTTATTTGATGTAAAAGCCAGTTTCGTGGTCAGCCTCAGGATGCCATCCCTGGTCACGGTTATCTTCAAGGTCGCACGGCACAGTGCTGCTGAGGATGCATCATGACTCGTGATTCACGAGATGACCCACATTGGTTTAGCATGTCGTCGAGTTTTTTTTGTATTAACTTTGTCCCTGGTGATACGTGCTGTATGCGCCATCGTTGATGGCTAGCGTATAGCTATCGATGCTTCGCAGATCGCTCTGTCGTGTCCCATCCATACCCTTCAGAAGTCTATTTGGTGAATAGAGTCGCTAAGTTCGCGGATAGATTATGTACATACAGGGTTAGAGACACTGGTTCAGTGATTGCGTTTACTGAAGTGAATCATATTAGCGGATGAGGAAGTCAGTTTAGCCGCTAAACTTTAGCAAAGCGGTTCAAATAAGGATTTCAACTTGTGCGAAAGTGTCTGTTGCTGCGATATGGGGCCCACGGGGGGCCGCTCATCTATCTTTTTCAACTCGGCAAATGCGGCACACAGTTTCATGATTGAAAGAGATGAGTGTCCGACGTCTGAGCAGTATTATCCCAAAAAGATGAAATACTGTCATCATCACCATAATCAACTTCTTCGTTAGCGTACATACCAACCCGACTCGGATGATAATCTCAAGAGAGAGATGGAAAAAACTTAACTTCATCACTTTTGGGAACTACTACTACTACTACGATATCTAACATGCCATGTCATCCAATCGTGTAGCGCCCAATGATGGTTCCAGGCTGTCTACACAATGAGCAGAAACAGTGGAATCTGATGAGCACCTCAAATTCAGCCCAATTGTAATCGGTGAGATTGTCTAACGCACCCTTATCTGTAGTGAATGTGAATTGGTTTTTTACAATAGTAGTGCGCAATGGAGATTAAGCAAGGGTGTAAGTGTAGGGACAGGAATGACACAATCTAGCTGCTGGTCTTATCACAATGGTAAAATCTGGAATATCATCACAAGTCTGAGGAAATCAAGTAATCTTATCCCTACGTATTTGTTACTAACAGATTGTTAGTGAAACGATCAAGTCTTAGTTTCTAAAGTTTCTTATCTTCCTAAGGTCAGTAGAGATGGGTACGATTACGGTACGGTCCGGTGATACGGCGAACTACCGTAACCATAACGTAATTCCGACGTAATGCGGGTACGGGTGCGCGCCATTCGGGACTAAAGATTTCACCCCGACTTGCGACAGAGCTAATTTTTCGTTGAACTTTGCACGTTTAGTTTGCTGTAGGCAATTAACCTAGATAGACAGTTGGGCAGTTATTTCTCGTTAGCCATGCCACCGAAAGGAAATGACAAGATCAGGGTGGAGTTTCCCGACTGGGTGAGAATGGTCGACGATGAGGGGAAGGGATGCGCGAGTCGCATAACATGCCCGAAAAATATACGAATGAATAAGAAGTCGCTTTCCGGCATTCGAGCACACACGTGAGGGTATGCGAAAAATGTTACTAGGAAGAGATGGGCCTCCGCCAAAGAAGCTTCGGACTAACGACATCTAACATCAGTTCGACATCAAATTTTCGAGATACATCGTCCATTCTAGAGCAGTGTTGGAAACAGCAGATGACGAAAATTTTCGAGCCTTGGTCCACTGCCTCAATCCAGACGTTCAACTATAGTCTCGCAAGACGCTATCTCGCAAAATCCTCGAGAAGACAAAGAATTACTACGAGTGGGTCACAAATGACGCTTTCCGCCTCCGACTTTATGATTGAATCCAATTGTCAGGTATGTTGTCAACATGCAAGCGAGTTAACGTTAGTCTAGACATATGGTCAAGATCCAGTAGGAGCTCGTCTCTCTGTAAGTACACTCGGAGACAGTCGTATGAATAGCAAAAGGCAGGTGCCATCATGGTTACACACAACATTGATCGGTAACTTCCTCCTCGATTACGCTAGAATTGAAGGGAAGCACACTGATGCGAATATAACAGCAACCCTCGAAGGTATACTCTCGAAGTGCCATATAGGCAACCACGATGGCATCGCACTCGGTACTATTAAAAGCGACGCCGCAGCGAGCAACAAGTGAATGGTGAAAGATTTACGTGAGAAAAATGGGTTAAAAACATGGGATATCCCACACATTTTATGCTGTGGACACAAGCTCCATCTTGTAGTGAGCAACTCTCTCGAGATCTGGTCACGCACCACAAATGACTACCCAGATAGAACGCCTTGCGACCCTGATCCGGGGCTGCAGAGGACGACTCCTCCGGTCAAGATGATCTCATCTACGACGACTCCGATTCACTGACAAATCAATAAACTACGCTTGGGCGGAGGGGGTCGTGACAGAGGCGGCTTCACGTCAAAGCAGGCAGTGGAGCTGCGCTATCAGGAAAGCAAGAAACAATTCATGGTTTCCCCGCCAGTCGAACAACGCTGTAGATTTGTTACAGGGGTGTGCTACCAATCAGAACCGTAAGATAACCTTGCCGGCAAAGGATATAATAACGCATTCAGCTTACTCATTGTTTGACTGGTATAGGGCGATCCGTGTGCTATTCGAAGCATACCACTGATATGATACCAGCAACAATGTCTGAAGAGAGGAAAGCGTGACACGTTATATGCGCACTCAAAAAAGTTTCAATTCCTGGCAGGGCACTACGAAACTATTGAAGACCTGTGCGAGGCATTGAGATATCTCCTGGATGCGACTGAGCTTTTGTCTGCCAGACAATGTCTGGGACCCGATTTCCGACTCTCGGGCTTATTCGACCCGTAGTAAAGGGATTGCTGGCCGGCTTGGGTGATACATCTGATGGACGTGGAAGAAGGTCCAAAATCAGGCAGTGCCTTTCATCAAGCCTTGAGAAGTACTTCCGACAGCATCTTGATGACGACAATAATATCGACATCCTCTCTACGTGCGCGACTCATCCGAACACTGACTTTGCGGACACAGAGACAGAAAGTGTAGGACAAGCAGCTGTGAGGTCATCACGGAGGCTCTCGGAATATAGGATAGAGTTGCGATGCTCCAAGGAGCAGTTACTCAAACTTATATTGCCGGATCATCCGAGTGCACGTTGCTCAGCAGACTCAGAAGGAGAAAGCCTTGTATTCGACCAGAAGACGCGTCAGGCTTGACGAGGAAGCTCCAAATACATGAGAGAACGTTGGCTACCCGACATAAAGGCGGTTCCCGGTTATAAATATCTCTCTGTGCGCTGATGGGTCTGACTCATCATCGTCTGATCCGATTATCTATGAGTTGCCCAGTGTGACTGATATGATATTTAGAGTCCTGAATGATGTAGTTTACCATCAACGGCGACGACCTGTGGGCCGATGGTTCAAGGTTACAGTGCGTGAGATGCGTGCCTCGGCTCGGGTTGACGTTAAATGCGATGATGAGCCCGGTACGATCGAGACTTGATTTCTGGGCCTGTCAACATAGATCGATGTTATGAGTTTTGCTCTCTTTCACCTAGTATTATCGTTTTAAGTTTATAACCTTCAAGTTTATAGTATGGTAGATTTTGCACAGCCACAGGTATTACCAATGGCTTGTGCTGCACAAGCCATAAAACATCCGTACGCATGCACAAGTTGTGCATGCGTACGGATGTTTTAGCTAGGAGTTCTAGCTAGAACCCACATGTTCGGTTCTAGCCTAGAGCCGAACATGTGGATTCGGTGCAATATGTCTTTGCTAAAGGTCGAGAATCCGTAGCCATCCTGGCTCAAGTTCGAGTTGTGTTGTAATAACCCTCGATAATCCTATCGTCTCAAGCCATCACGCACACAATTTGTGTGGGCCGCACAATTCGAGCAACGTGCTGATGTCAGGCTGGCATTGTCAGTATTTCTCAAGCGTTCAAGCCGTCCGTGCTTATCATCTCTCTCCCATCCATATGAAGATATTTTTTATTCTGGCTATCCTGATCGTCCTGGGTGTTGTTAA